TCGAATCTCAGCTCATTGCATTCAGGAATGAAGTTTTTAGGCATTTAACACCATTCTGATTAGATTTCACCTTAATTATTAAATATAGCTACAGGCCTCTAAAAATTACGAAATTTTTGCACAAGGCTGGCAATGAACAGATAACATATCCCTCAAAATTTCAAGTCATTCCGAGCAGTGTGCGATTTTTAAAAATTCAAACACCAAAACAGCAACATATATACTCGACAACTAAGCAATTAATTCATAACATGAAACTTCTCGTCCGAGGCCTTCTCGTAAAACCAAGGACTCGACTTTGTTCCAATATCCACTGACTTACACGACTTTCGAGGTCTCGTTCAATTTCTCATAATTGAAGAGATCCCGAACGACATAAACGACACATAAAATCATATCTTTCATATAAATTCACGATTTTCACATATTCTCTAATCGAACACATATATCGAAAACATAATCGCATAACTTATACGAATTCACATATCATCATATAACACAACGATAATTACGTAAAATAAATGGGAAGACGGGACTCGATACTGTTCTCGAGAATCGGGCGAGAAGGGTTCGAATGGGCTCGACGGAAAACTCGTTTCGCGAAAAAGGAGAGCTCGTCGCACGGGAGGAGAAAGTGCGTCGCTGCTGCTGGGTCACGAGCTCACCGGGAAGGTCACCGCAGTTGCTGCTCGAAGGATGATCGAACTCGCCGGAAAGAGAACTGGCCTCGGCCACTGCAGAGGAGAAGGGCCGCTCGCCGGTGGCCTGAACAGGTGCAACAGCCTGCTGCGCGGAGAAGGGTTCACCGGAAGTCGCAGGCTCGGAGAGGAGAGAGCTCGTCGCGAGATGGTGGCCAGGGTCGGGGATGGCTCTGCTTGCGGAGGATGAGGGCTGCGACGGCGGAGTCCGCTGGTCACGGTGGCGCGTGAAGGATGCAGCGATGGCGATGGTTTTCAGCGAGAGATAAGAGATTGAGAGCGGCTGCGGCGTTGGGATTGCTGGTTCGCCGGAAATATCACGAACAGAGGGAAGCTTCGTCGTCTGGCTCGAACTCGCCGAAAAATTCGAACAGGGGGTCGCCGGTGGTGATGCTTCACGTCGACGATGGAGGCGTCTCACGTACATGACAGAGGCGAAAGGGAAGGTGATGATGCCGTCGAACAGATTATCACGAGAGGGTGATGATGGCGGCGATCAATTTTGAAAGTGAGAGGGAGGAGAAGAAGACGACAAAATTTCTTTTCTGTGCTCTTGCGTGAGGGTCGAGATCGCGAGAGGTGGGAGAGGAAAACAGATCTCGATGGCTGCGGTCGCTAGGTCGAGAGCAAGAGAGAAAACGAGACAGATGAGACTTAGGTTTTTCTGCTCAAAATCACACGTTTAATTTAACGGGCCAAAACTCTTTAAGCTATTTGGGCCCCAATTGTACAATAAAGTGGGCCGGGAATATACGGGCTTAAATGGACCGATAGTACTTGGACAAAAAGGCCAGAATATTTAGCTCTTATGGCCTGAAAAAAAATAAGGCTCGATTCTGGGTTCTCGGGCTCGATTTTTCGGTCGATTTAGCCAAAATAAAATGGCTTGGTTCGCTCGACAATTTTTTTTTNTCCCAATTATTCCATAAATGAACGGGGCGCTACAACATCAGCCAGAGACTCCATGAGGAATTCCTCCGACCTTGGAGGCCCCTCTTCAAAAATCGACGGACCGTCGTAGAGACCGTCCTCTTCGCCGGTGAGGCGCTTTTCTACCTCCTCGGGTCCTTCATCAAACACCGGTGGACCGTCGTAGAAACTGATCACGTCGGGATCGCCGAACTCCTCGGCAAACCATACACGCCGGTGCTCCTTGCCCACGAAATCCCAGTCGCGCCATTGTTGTCCGCCCGCGAAGCCATCTCGCTGCTGGTACCAACCGCGCCGTTGTAGCTCGTCATCAAAGTCGCCGGTCTCATGGTCGTGGTCCCAAACGCGGCACTGCCGCTCGATCCCAGCGAAGGCAGCTCCCACGGGCTCAGCCTACCCATCGCGGCGATGGCGATTGCCGCCAGTAAAGGCCTCTGTCGCAATGTTGTCAATCGCCGACAGCAAACCCCGCGCCCTCTTGCCGCACATCCTGGCCGCCGTATGCACCAATGGGCACATCATCGACGTGCAGAGGAGGACACTCACTGAAGGGATTCACCTCTGAGATGGGCTTCTTGTCGTCTTCATCGTGGGGCGACGATTGTGGTGATCTCCGGCGGGGCACCTCGTCCAGACCATGACCTCCACGTCCGCCGTAAGTTCCCCCGGACACGCCCCGATTGCCGGCGTCACGGTACGTTTGCTTGTCCCAGACCATGGTACATATAGTTAGATATATGTCCCCGATCTCCGCGGACTAATCTGCAATCCGACGACCCATCGTCTCAAGCCGGCGGCCAAACCACTCGGTCCGACAGCTCAGGTTGTAGATGGCGGCGACACGTCTGTCGTTTGCAGCATCTTGTCTTCGCGACAGAATCATGAATCGTGCTGACTTCTGATACCAACTGATGTAGGGAAGTGTACGAATAAGAAGGATAAACGAGACATTCTCTCAATAACACAAATCAAATCTTATTTCATTCAAAAATCAACTGAAGATAACAAAAGAGGGAGAGTACTTTATATAAGGCTCCTAAACCCTAACAGTAATTTGCTCACCAAGACTAAACATAAATAACAAATAAATATTAAATGCCAATAATAATAATATATATTAATTAAACTACCAAATATTCTAATACAAAAAATAATAGATATTATCATGCATTAGATGCCCTTTTGCCTTGTCCTGCGACCAAATCCACGTCATCAGGTAGAACATCTTCTTCTCCCAGCTCCCTTACTATCTATTAGGTAGAACATCTTATTCCCCCAGCTCCCTTACTATCTATGAGGTCGAGTCAACTTCCTGGTCGGCCAGGTCGAGCATGTAGTGAGCTCGTGTTGTGGTTGATTTCTCCTTTCAAGAGGTCATCGTCGACCTGGTTATTGTCTTCAGGTCGACCTTGGTTGCGGCTCAAGTTATCTTGTTAGTCCGATCTTAATGCTTAATTCCTTTGGTTCGATCTGCCATGTGTATTTAGAACTATTACAGTGGTAACCAACCATTGTTTCTAAGTTATCGTGCCAAAAGTCAATTAACCACAACAGGTATATAAATTAGCATGCAACGGTGCGACAATTTAAAATAACTCGAGAACCTCATCTATTACAGAGAAATCATTGCTATAATTTCATTTATTTATGGCCAAGTCTCTAGACAAATTCTTTCATAAAAAATTTACGCATGCAGGTAAAACTTAATCGATTCAAGTAAAACTTTTGATTAACGACTTCTTTCATAACTTTCGTTAACAAATTCTTTCATAACAAATATTTAATTTATTCGATTAAGTAAAACTTTTATTTGACAATATAATTATGCATTATACACATTGTCTAATACTACATGTAAGAAATTTAACGGGCATCTTTACAACTATTAGACATAATTGAATAAACTCTAAACATGTAACTTTATCAATTCATAGAATATGAATCTTTGCATAAATTAAATTGCACATAAAAGTTACAAGAATCCAGCTTTTAGTCATTACTTCCTCTTTCTCGTAATCTTCAATGATGTGTTTCTCTCTCCCACGTCTCTCGTCCTTTCATAAAGCCTTGGTGTTGAGAGCACTATTTTCAAATGAGCAGAGAGAGGGACATTTAGAGTATATATAGGAGGAAACCTACAATCGTAATCATACTAAAATTCTCCATGTTCTAACCTAATTTACTGCCCAAGTCAAATATCACAAATTTGACTCTTTAACAACATTTAATAATCTAGCAAATACATATTCTTCTGAATTAAGTTTGACTATTAAAAAGTCTTGCATCCTCCACAGTTAAAGCAGTTGTACAAGATTGGAGAGCTTACTTGGAGGCAAATGGAGCAGGCCACAGCACTTGCAACACTTCTTCAATGATGTTTACTAGCTATTGGTTTTCTTTTTCTAGCTTCTGAACTCGTTGTTTTCTTTATTTGTTGTTTTAACTTAGAAATTTGGTATCATAAGGGTAAGGGCCTCAGTTGTCTTCTAACTGCCTTACCTTTTTTTCTCTTTGTTTGATTGTCTAGGCCACTTCAAGGTGGTTCTCTCATTATCGGCTATTAATATTGTGTATGTTGGTTTTCCTTGTAAGGACATTGTATAAGTGTTTTTGTTTCAAATGAATGAGATCATCTGTCGATTGAAAA